AAATTGCCGCGGACCTATCTTCCACATGGCCGTGTTACAGCACCAGATCGGTTAAATATTAAAGAAATACACAATATGCTGAAATACTTTGACTAAAATTGTACGGGGTAAGTAGAGCACAATGGGCCCTATTGATAGAGCAAGATTTTCTTTAGACGGACTTTAGAAGAAGAAATGGTGGGGGCATCTCGAACGTCACGAGGTAAATTATTCCATTGAGATGCCGCGGCGCAACGAAAAAATTTGCGTAGCATTTCAGTGCGTGCACGGGGCGGATACAAACGCGCTTCATCTGCACACACACTACGCGTCCGCCTGGAGCTCACTAATTCATGTTTAAAAGTAAAAAAACCGTGGAGATATGCAGGTGCCTGCTTACGTACAATTTTGTAAGTTAAAAGAGATCGATGGTCATAAAACCTAGCTGCGAAAAGATTTCTTCAGTGCGGGCATCTGAAGGTCTACGAATGACCGCGCAAAACGTTTCTGCAGGTTAAAAACTTTGTCAATATCCGTAGGTCAAAGAGAGTACGCCTATCCTTGAACCGCCTATAGTATAGAAACGTTAAGAATTTGGTACTAAGTAAATACATTTACGGACTGTTGGATGAGTATTTCTTTTGAAATCGTATGAAATACAGCGAGTGTATTTAGTTAGCATTATATTCTATTGAAACGCTTCAAGTGCCTGTGCCTTCAGTCTATGGAAAACTACCAAAGCGTACGTACAGCATTTTTGCATATATTACATCGTCCCAGCGTGCTAGCTGCTTATAGCAAAAACTTCGTCTACCCCTGCGGTCGAGGGGGGCCCTGATTGCTCTTGTGCAGAAAAACTTCGCAGAAAAACTTCGAACTCGCCTGCTCGCAGTTACCTTGACGGTCCAATCCCTATATATACGCATATATAGCATGCACGGACTCCTACGGCTATCAAGAACGCCTAGGATATAGTCAACATACTAGGCTACCTCTATGTGATTGTTATGTGATTATTACGTCGTCATTGTTTGTATATAGGTGAACATTTCTATGTACATGAATAGAGGCATAGGCCCAAGGATAGAGAACATGGGTCCCAATAAAACCAATGTGCCTAACCCTTAACCCTAATTCTCACCCTAACCCTAACCCTAACAATAACCCTGACCNCATGTAGAGACCTAACCGCAGGGAAACAGCCGCCTTTGCAAAGCAGAATGGCTGCATATCTGTCTATCTGTATATCTGTCTATCTGCCTATCTGTCCATCTGCATATCTGTCCATCTGCATATCTGTCTAGCTGCATATCTGTCCATCTGTATATCTGTCTATCTGCATATCTGTCTATCTGCATATCTGTCTATCTGGATATCTGTCCATCTGGATATCTGTCCATCTGCATATCTGTCCATCTGCATATCTGTCTAGCTGCATATCTGTCTATCTGCATATCTGTCCATCTGCATATCTGTCTATCTGCATATCTGTCTATCTGCATATCTGTCCATCTGCATATCTGTCCATCTGCATATCTGTCCATCTGCATATCTGTCTAGCTGCATATCTGTCTAGCTGCATATCTGTCTATCTGCATATCTGTCCATCTGCATATATCTGTCTTTCTGCACATCTGTTCTACAATGCGAATGCAAATCGAGTGACAGTGTTTCCTTCGCTCGCCACCCGAGGCGCGAGCGTCACCTTGATCTAGCGGGTATGCGAATAGCTCCCCCCCTCTCTCTCAAATACATGCTCCCTTCGCTTTGAGCTTCAATTGCGAAGTGCGCCGGGGGGGGTCACTTTGATATAGCGTGTATGCGAATATACCCCCCCCCCTCAATGTCGTGAAGTGACAAGGTGACATATCTGTCGTATGTCGCGTATTTCAACATTACACCTTCCACAGGTACGTCGTGGTCACGTGACATATCTGTCGTATGTCGCGTATTTCAATATTACACCTTCCACAGGTACGTCGTGGTCACGTGTAGCTGGCGGTCTTACGTCGATTGGCGTTGGGCAAGCAGGTGTCTGGGGCACCAATAGCAATAACGAAATTTACTTCCGCAGAGGCTCCGAGGTATATTAACGTTATTAGTTATATTAATGTTATTAGATAGTATTTATTATTATTATTATTAGATATTAGAGATTAGATATTAGATATGTGTGTGTGTGTGTGTGTGTGTGTGTGTGTGCGTGCGTGCGCGGTAATATAATATTATGTGTGTGATGTGCGTGTGCGTGGCGTGCGTGCGTGCGTGGCGTGCGTGCGTGCGTAGGTGCGTGTGTGTGCGTGTGCGTGTGTGTGCGCGCGCGTGTGGCGTGTGTGTGTGGGAGTGTGTGCCGCGCGTGTGCATGTGCGTGTGTGTGCGTGTGTGTGTGTGTGTGCGTGCGTGCGTGTGTGCGTGCGTGTATATATATATATATATATATATATATATATGTATTATATATATATATGTATATATATATATTGTATATATATATATATATAAGATATAGAATATAATAATATAATAATTAATAAATATATATATATATATATATATATATATATATATATATATATATATATATATAATAGAACATGCGCACGCCAGCTATGTGAGAGTTTGGCTATACGTCGTGGTAGCGTCACCCATCGTCTTTGCAATGAATGACTCTTTGCCCTGTTTTTATAGAATGACGCCCGCCACTACAGGATCGGAATGGCTGCAGGTAGCTGGAGGCTTGAAAGCAGATCGATGTCGGAACATAGCATCGTCTGGGGCGTCAACTCTGGCGATAACATCTATGTCGCGCAACGGTAGGTGGTGCGCTCGTCGTTCGTCTCTAACAGGAGAGAGGGATAGCGAGAGATGGGGGGAGAGGATGGGGAAAGAGAGAGCGAGCGTGAGCATGGGTGAGAGACAGAGAGAGAGAGAGAGACAGCGAGAGAAAGTGAGAGAGAGGGGGAGACAAAGAGAGAAAGAGAGACAGAGAGAGCGAGAAAGAGAGAGACAGAGAGAGAGAGAGAGAGAGAGAGAGAGAGAGAGAGAGAGAGAGAGAGAGCGCGAAAGAGTTCAAGCGAAAGCAAGGCAGCGAGAGAGAGAGAGACCGAGAGACGGAGGAGAATGAGAGAGAATGAGAGAGAAAGAGATAGAGAGAGGGAGAGAGAGAGAGAGAGAGAGAGAGAGAGAGAGAGAGAGAGAGAGAGAGAGGAGAGAGAGAGAGAGAGAGAGAGAGAGAGAGAGAGAGAGAGAGAGAGAGATAGGGCAGATAGTGATATATAGGCGATAGAGAACCTTCCTTGTCCCCTCCCCTTCCCCGGCCTGGCCGGCCCCTCCTACAAGCCTTGGTATTCTATTCACTCCTGATATATATAGTACATGCATTATATATAATATACACATATATATAGTACATGCATTATATATACACACATATTATATATAGTACATGCATTATGTTAACGGTAAACAATGACAGAATCTCACATTAATCGCTTCCTGATTGTGATGTGGTTCTATGTCGCGCATTTTCTATAGTGCTTACCGACGGCTTTGGCGCGTACGGCGTACGGCGTACGGCGTACGGTGACGGTTTGGCTTCCTGATGACATTGTTGAAACCCTGTGTTTTAGGTATTACTGCCGAAACTCCGGAAGGCAGCGACTGGGAGCAAATCCCCGGCCTGCTTAAGCAAGTCAGCGTTAATCCAGCGACAAACGAAGTGTGGGGCGTCAATAGCAACGACAACATCTTCCGGCGCGTCGGTGTAAGAACAGCATTAACCCCAAAGCGACCGTGCGTGCGATTAGACTGTCCCCACGCGTCTCTGTGGCTACCGCAGTGGAGCCCTAGTTCTCCGATCTTACGTATTAAATGTTCTTTTACATGTAATTACATGTTACATCTTCAATCAGAAAAATTTTGGAACCCAATTTTTTTTATCTTCGCCCTCCGGAGATGCTCTGCTGTTTCGAACGCGCGGAAGGAACACGCAGACGATATATTGGCAAAAGACGTCACGTGGGAATGACGAATGCTCGATTCATTGACCGAATGCTCTGGTGTTTATTCTCTGTAAGTGCAGTGCTTTTTAAACTAATTCAGTATCATTCACCCTCGATCAAAAAAATTCCGTTTACCCATGACTAATTTTGCTTGCGTTTTTGGCAAGTTTTATTCATTCACTCCTAAAATAATTTCATTCACCCTCGAGTGAATCATTCACTAGTTTAAGAAGCAGTGTGTCAGTGCATCAGTCGTGGATCTCGAAAGACAACTTAGACGGTGTCAGTCTAAACCTGCGCACGTACCCTTGCACATCGGACTAATCCGATCTGTAACATCATAACGCGTATAGGACGTGGACGGAAAGCGCATTGTAATATCAGGCGTGTGTAATATAGAGAAAAATGTGAGTCCATAATATATTATAAAATATAATCTAATATTATATATATAACAATATTATATAATATAATATATTCCCTTATTTAATATATTATACACTCCTGATTATATTATATTACCATTATATTAGATTATATTATTCGATTATATTATATTACCATCGACGTTTAATCGCAGTAGATTGTACGTGTAGCTTGCACAGGTGTTTTTATCCTTCTTTTTGGGGGAGGGGGAGGTTATTTTCGGGACGTGGAATTTGGACCGTTTTGATCATCAGTTATAATTAGTTAAATTAGTTAATTAATAAGTTTCTCGTGCATAATATTCAAGAGTATATATAGGTCAACCGGGACACGCAGGAAATCCGAAATTGCAATCTTAATTGCAATCGTGAACTGGAAAATTGCTTATTTTAACGTGGGAAAGTGGGAATGGACCCTCCTGTCACATGTGCCCCCTTTCTTTCTTTCTTTCTTACGCTCGCGTGAAACAGTCGCCGTAGCAGCAGCATTCGCATTTAGCCTTGCCAAACTAACCTCCAATGCCATTAACGAGAATCCGCCATAACTACAAAAAAACATTAAGAAGGTCACACGCGAACTAAAAAAAAATCGCTGATCACGACTATTTTTTTTGTCAAACCAGATTATTATTCGGTTCAACTAAACGTTAATGTTTTTTTATTTACGCACGCAATCGGAAACTAAACGTTGATTTTAACATTCTTTTACGCATTTATGCAGATCACGAGCACAAACTACAAGGGCGTGTCGTGGCAGCAGATCGCAGGTGGGCTCAAGTGGGTCTCCGTCGGACAAGCCGGCGTCTGGGGCGTGAATAGCAATGACGTCATCTTTTACCGAAACGAAACCGGCAACGGCGTAGGCACATCCGGTACGTGATGACGTAGGCGTGACGTGTGTGAACATGCACCGGGGGCGTGGAGGAGAGGGGGGGCGAACGATGGGGGATGCAGCGCGCGAGAGTGAGGAGAGAAAGAGAGAGAGAGAGAGAGAGAGAGAGAGAGAGAGAGAAAGTGTGTGTGTGAGAGAGAGAGTGAGAGAGAGAGAGAAAGAAGAGAGAGAGAGAGAGAGAGAGAGAGAGAGAGAGAGAGAAGCCAGTGAGAGAGGGAGGGGAGAGGGAGAGGGAGAGGGGCATGAGAGAGATGAGTGGAAAGGCGAGAGAGAGAGAAGCGACGATGAGAGAGGAGAGAGATGAGAGAGAGAGAGAAGGGGACAGAGACAACGGGAGGGATGAGAGGTGAGGGAGGAGAGTGAGGCCCGAGGGCGGGAGCGGAAAGGGGATTGAGAGAGAGAGAGAGAGAGAGAGGGAGGAGAGAGAGAGAGAGAGAGTGACTGAGGGAGGGGAGAGGGGAGAGAGAGAGAAAGAGAAGGAGAGGAGGGGGAGGAGGGAGAGAGAATGAGAGGGAAAGAGGAGAGAGAGGAGAGAGGGAGGAGAGAACGGAGAAGTGAGTGGGGAGAGAGAGAGAGAGAGAGAGGAGGAGGTGGAGAGAGAGAGAGATTGAGCTGCGGCCGGATAGAGAGAGAGAGAGTGTGTTGTGAGAGAGAGAGAGAGTGAAAGAGAGAAAAAAGGTAGAGAAAAGAGAGAAGAGGGGAGGGGAGAGAGAGAAGAGCGAGAGAGAGGAGGCGAGAGAGACAGAGATGCGAAGGAAAGCGAGAGAGAGAGAGAGAGTAGGAGTGAGGAGAGAGAGAGAGAGAGTAGTGAGGGGAGAGCAGAGAGAGTAGAGAGAGAGACGAGATGAGAGAGAGAGAAGACGAGAGAGAGAGAGAGAGAGAGAGAAGAGAGAGGGCAGGAGGAGAGAGGGAGGAGAGAGGGAGAGAGAGTGAGGAGGAGAGAGAGACGAGAGAGAGAGAGGAGAAGAAGATAGAGAGCAGAGAGAGAGGCAAGTGCGACTGCACTAGCACGACGTGGCGCCGAGGCTATTTGCTTGTTTATTCTGCTTGCAGGAACGGGTAGGCAGCAGATTTCCGGACTTCTGAGAAGATTAGCCTCTGGCGCCGGCTGCGTGTGGGGTTGTGAACGCCGCCAACAACATCTTCATACGCCGTTGGTGAGCCCGCTGATGCTCTGCTAGGGGGGGTGGGGGGGGGGGATCGCATTTCTAGCATAGCGGGTGAGGAGCTGCCTACCTCCCGCCTCCCTCGTTCCATCGTCCTCCTCCTCGTCCCACTCCACCCATTTCAATTCCTTCCCCTTTTGCAGATTCTCTCGCCTGCCCTTAATAATCATTCTTTTCCACTGCAACCCCCCTCTCTCTCTACACACACATTAAACACATACACACACGCGCGCGCGGGGCGGCCCGGGGCGGGGGGGGGCACACACACACACACACACACACACACACACACACACGCACACAACACACACCACAAACCATACACACACACACACACACAACACACACACCACACTCACACACACACACACACACACACACACACACACACACACACATTTACAGCACACACACACCACACACACACACACACTGCGCGCGCTTGCGCAAGCGCGCGCACAACACACACACACACACTCACACACAACACACACACACACACACACACACACACACACACACACACACACACACACACACACACACACACACACACACACACACACACACACACAATCTGTTCTCACACCTCGCAACACCATGCCCTCTCCCTGCACCCTGTGCCCTTTATTCGCCGTCGATCCCTGTCCAGGCGAAATTACAAACTAAAATCATCCAACTGAACGCATCCGCGTTTTTTTGCAAATTATTGTCTGTATCGCTAAATTATGACGTACCCTAATCTATTACGGCTCGACCCCCTGCTGCTTCTCATGATGACGATGGCGATAATGATGATGACGATGATGATGATGGTGATGCTGATGATGATGATGACGATGATGATGCTACGACGCGCAAGTTGCTATTATATCATTATAACTGCCATCGTCAGCTTGGATAATTTCTTATTCCACCTCCGTCTCGTTAGGGATCACGGCGGAAAACCCCCAGGGTACGGAGTGGGATAGGATATCTGGTGGGCTGAAGCAAGTCTCCGTCAGTGCCACGACCAATCACGTGTGGGGCGTGAACGCTAACGGCGCCATCTACCGGCGCGCCGACACAAGATCGCCGAGTAAGAATCGGCGACTATTTTTTCCACGATGAAAATCGCGAACGTGGTTTTTTTTGTCGTTTTCCTACGAAGACACGCTCGCATAATCTGTTATAGAGCGTCCGTTGGAGCTTTTAACGCATTAAAAATGCTTAGCGTTACACGTAAGTACGTGCAGTAATGTAAGTAATGTCAATCTATTCTGTTCTAAACTTCCGCCGAATGTTATCTCTCGTATCTTCGTTCAGTTGAAGGGCAACCCGTCACCGGCCGCTTGCCGGAGATAGGAAGTGCATGGAGACAAATCGACGGAGCCGGAAGTGCCATAGATATTGGCAGCGCTGGTGTCTGGGTTATCGGCAGGTACTGCTGGCAGACGGATAAGGGTTGTTCCGTCAGTATAGCTGCGATTTGTTAACGTTTCCTGCATCGAATAATATAACGTTATGAATAGAACGCGATGAAGTCAAAGCAATGCAGTGAGCAACGCATTGTGAATATTCTGTGTGATTCACAAACACCTGTTCATCGTATATATATATATATTGTACCGACACGTTGATAGAGCTTCACCCGGTAACTCCAAGAAACCGTGCCGTGCGTGCGTGTGTGCGCGCGTGCGTGCGTGCGTGCCTGCGTGCGTGCGTGCATGCATGCGTGCGTGAGTACCTGAGTACGTGAGTACGTGCGTACGTGTGTGCGCGCGTGTGTGTGTGCGTGCGTGCGTGCGTGTGCGTGAATGCGTGCGACCGTATATACACAATTAGTCTCTGCCCAACTCTACCCTCCCTAAACAATATTTATTATTGCAGCGACAATAGGCATATAAACATATTCTATTAGTCTCTGCACCCTCCCCATACGTATACCTATTTATCATTGCAGCAGCAACGCACCCTACGCGCGCCAATACACGCAGGGACAAAGCGACGTTGACGGCTACGGCTGGGATCGCGTCGACGGAGAACTCACCGACATCTCGGTCGGCGATGGAGTCGCTTGGGGCGTCGATGCCAACCACGTCGCTCACGTGCGCACGGGCATATCGAGGGACGCGCCGACGGGCACGGGCTGGTCGACAATCGGACCCCTGAGCTTGCGCCAGATCAGCGTTAACAGTGTGACGAATGAGGTGAGAATAGAGAGAAGGGGAGGAGGGGAGGAGGGGAGGAGGGGAGGAGGGGAGGAAGGGAGGGAGAAGGAGAGATAGGGGAGAAGGAGAGAGGGAGAGGGGGGGGGGCAGCGCGGGGAGAGAGATAAAATTTAGTAATTATGCTGATAAATATATATATATATATATATATATATATAGAACAATAAGAACGGACGAACGAACGAAACGAAGTTAGTCTTATACTAGTATGTTGTTCGTCTCGTCCGTCTGTACAACG